AAAAAAAAAAAAAAAAAAAAAAAAAAAAAAAACCTTCAAAAGTAATTTTCCGTGATGAGGCTGCGGAGATAAACATTTGCCATCCTCTGGCTTTGAGTTCGGGGCGATGAGCAGACAGAAAAAGCCTCAGACCTTCTTCCACTTGACAGATATTTGTACCTTTGCATTTCTTCCAGTGGCCTCTGACAAAATTCTGAGGGACACTGGGCACCCTGCGTCACCATGGGCAACGAGAACAGCAACTTGGACCACCAGGTGGGTGTCAAGCTTCTCCCTGGAACTGCGCAGCTCTTAACTGACCTCGACTGCACCCCTTCTCCCCAGCACCGTGTCTCTGCCCAGAGAGGAGCAAGGGGAGACAGAGTTTGTGCCAGATCCACGCAGGCGTGTAGGCAGGCGTTTTTTTGCATTGCCTTTTCAGAAATCTCTCAGGATTCTCCTGCCTTCATAACCCACGAGCGCTAATTGTTCTTTTTATTCTGTGCTTTAAAAATTGGCATAATGAGAATTGGGCACATTTTCTCCAGATTGTCCCCACTCATCCACTTTAACAGGTTCAGCAGAGGAGGCTAAAATAAAACTCTTTTTCCATATTCCTCCCCTATGTAAGGTTATGGCCCTTCAAAATGATTTTAAATGGCATCAGTGTTGAGAGATTAAATCCAAAGTGTTGTTCTCAAGTTGGGCCAGGTTTTCAGAATTGAGGAGAGGACTTTAATTGCTTAATTGTGCAGATGGCTCAGATAATAAAATACACGCATATTCTGTCTTCATCCATTTTAAGTTGGCTATACCGACATAATGCCATGGTGGACGAAACCAAAGACGTACTTTCCCATTTATTTCCCACAGAGTGGAAATTCTGGATGAATGGTGTCGAGTTCTTTGTGAAAGCTGGATCTGAAAGCCAGCCTGCCGCAGTTCACTTCCCCCTTGCTTTTGCTCCTCTGCAATCTTCTTTCCTCAGTCAGCAAAACAGAAATTGTCAAAGGAAGAGGTGGCAAACTGCGGGGATTTTAGAGGCAGGAGAGAGGCGATAACGGGGGCTTTGAGACCATGGGAAGGAAGGAAACTGTGGCAAATGGGCAGCTGATGGTTGCCGTTAGGAGCCCGGCCCTGTGCAATAAGATTTTCCCATTTCTTCAAAAGAAGTAAAAACCTGCATTTTTCTGTAAAGCCATAAGTGATTTTAAAATAAACTTAAGAAATTAGAAGTAATGATAGCTTTTTTTTTGTGCTGGGAATCGAACTCAGGACCTTGCACTTGCTAGGCAGGCGTGGCACTAATAAGCTACCTACCCAGCCCGTAACCATAGATTTATATGCAGTTTAAGGAAGTGGTGCAGACAGATCACATGTACCCTTTACCTAGTTTTCCTGTCTCACAAAACTATCCTACAGGGCCAGGGATGTAGCTCAGTGGCGCTGTGCCCGCCTGGCAAGCACAAGGTCCTGAGTTCATCCCCAGGGCTGGCTGGAAACAACAACAACAACAAAAAACAAAAACAAAAAAATAAAACCCTAAAAAACCCAGAACTGTCCTACAGCATCACACAGTCAGGATTACAGAACATTTCCACTGGTAGACAGACACCTCTTGTCACATCCTCATTCCTCTTATTCCTTGTCCCTACCTTTGGCAACTACGAGTCTGCTTTCTGTTTCCATAATATTATTTCAATAATGTTTTAAAAAGCAGAATTATACAATGCGTGACCTCTTAGGATTAGCTTTGATCACTCAGCATAATGCCCTCGAGACTCACACAAGTTGTCATATGTATCAGTAGCTCATACTTTTCATGGCTGTATAGTATTCCACAACATGGAGGCTCCGTACAGTTCACTGAATCATCCACCTATTCAAACACACTTGAATGGTCTCTAGTTTTTCACTATGCCACGGAGTGCTTTTGTACAGTTTATTTTTTGTGAATCTATGGTTTCATTTCTCCTAGATAAATACCCAAGAGTATAATTGCCAGCTCATATGCTGATTGCATATTTAATTTTATAAAGAACTACCACAGATTTCTAGTCACTATACCATTTTACATTCCTGTCAGCAGTGTGAGTGATCCGATTTCCCTGGAAGCCTGGCTATCATTTGGTGTTGTTGTTACTTGCTGCAGCCATTCTCTTATGGTTTGAAGTTGCATTTCACCGATGGATAGTGAGGCGAAAAAACTTTGATGTGCTTATTTGTCATCTGCAGACAGTAGTTCTCTCCCTTATCTATAGTTTCTGTTTCTGAAGTTTCACTTACCCACCATTGACTATGGTCTGAACATATTAAGTGGACAAATTTCAGAAATAAACAATTCAGGTCTTACATTGTGCACTGTTCTGAGTAGTATGGTGCAGCCTCACACTGTCCTGCTCCTGCCAGTGTGGGATGTGAATCATCCTTCTGTGCACCTTATCCATGCTGTATATGTTACCCTCACATTCATCACTTAGCGGTGGTCTTGGTTCACAGGCCAACTGTCACAGACAGCGTTAAAGTGCTGTGTGCGTGACTCTTACATAGTAACCTACTGCTACGTCACAATGCCCATGTCATTCGCCTCACTTTGTCTCGCCATGTAGGCGCTGTACCACCTCACAGATTCACAAGAGAGAAACCACAGTCACATAACTTATTACAGTAATATATACATATATATGCATTGAGCCTAGGCCCTTCTTACTGAGCTATGTCCCCAGGTCTTTTCTTCCTTCATTCTTTCTTTCTATTTATTTTTGAGAAAGATCCCACTAAGTCACTCTTTTGCCCAGGCTATACTTAAATTTTAAAAATATGATTGCTATAGTTTATTATTAGTTATTGCTGTTCATCTCTTCCTGTGTCTGATTTTTTTTGTGTGTGTACTGGGGATTGAACTCAGGACCTTGTGCTTGCGAGGCAGGCAGTGGAACCACTGAGCTAAATCAACATCTCCCGTGCCTGATTTATAAATTAAACTTTATTAAAGGTATGCATGCAAAAAGTATAGCAAAAACAGGGTTTGGCACGATCCAAGGTTTCAGGCATCCACTGGAGGTATTAGAATGTATCCCCCATGGATAAGAGAGAATTGTTCCCTTTGGTGAAATATGTGTTCAGGTCTTTTGCCCATTTTCTAACTGGATTGTTACTGTTGTCTTAGAATTGAGTTCTGAGGGTTTTTTAAATAGTGTAGAGTAGTGCTTTGTCAGATTGTGGTTTGCAAATATTCTCTGTCATACTTCTCATTTCATCCCCTTAACAGGGTCTTTTATAGAGCAAATGTGTGTGTGTGTGTGTGTGTGTGTGTGTGTGTGTGTGTGTGTGTGTTTACTGGGGATTGGACCCAAGGCCTTTGAACTGAGCTACATTCCCAGCCCTTTTTATATTTTTAAATTTCAAGAGCCGGTTTCAATAAGTTGTTGAATTTCCCAGGTGGGGCTCCAATTTATAGCTCGCCTGCCACCGTTTCCCAGAGGCTGGGATTGCAGGCATGTGCCACCGTGCCAGGCAAGCTTTTAATTTTGAAGAGGTGCAGTTTTTCAACATTTCCTTTTATAGATAGTGCTTTGGGGATCAAGTCTAAGTACTCTTTGCCTACCGCTGCATCCTGAAAATTTTTGCTTTTTCTTCTAAAAATTTTAAAACTCTACATTTTGTAGTTAACTCCGTGATTCATTTTGAGTTGATTTTTGTATAAGGTATGAGATTTAGATTGAGGTACATACTTTGGCCCGTAGGGTCTTTGTTTTTGTAGAGTAGTTTCAGGTTCCTAGAAAATAGAGAGGAAGGTACAGAGATATCCCGCACAGCCTCTCAAACACACATGGCCTCCCATTGTTGACACCCTCCACCAGAGAGGCACATCTGTTACAGGTGACGGATCACACAGACCTATCCACAGATTACATGCAGCGTCACTCTTGATGTTGTACATTCTATGAGTTTTGACAAATGTATAAGGGCACGTATCTGCCATTATACTACATGCAGAACATTAAAAATCCTCTGTGCTTTGTCTTTCGCTACTTTCAACTCCTGGCAACCACAGATCTTCTCCTGTCTCCATAGTCTTGCCTTTTCCAGAATATCATAGAGTTGTTTTTTGTTTTGGTTTTTTTTTGGGGGGGGGTTTGAGACAGGGTCTCACTGCGTAGTTGAGACTGACCTGGAACTCGCTATGTAGCCCAGGCTGGTCTCGAACTCACAGCGATCCTCCTGCCTCAGCCTCCCAAGTGCTGGGATTACAGGCGTGTGCCACCACGCCCAGCTCATAGAGTTGGAATCATAATATGGAAATTGTAAAGATTGGCTTTTTTCATTTAGCAATTTAAGTTCCATCCATGTCTTTTCATGACTCACTAGCTCATATATATGTATATTTTGTTTGTTTGGTTGGTTTGTTTTGTGTTTTGAGACAGGGTCTCACTATGTGGTTGAGACTGACCTGGAACTCACTATGTAGCCTAGGCTGGTCTTGAACTCACAGCGATCCCCCTGCCTCAGCCTCCTGAGTACTGGGGTTGCAGGCGTGTGCTGCCGTGCCCGGCTAGCTCATATATTTTTATCTCAGAATAATATTCCATTGTCTGGACATACCAGAGCTTACTTATCTACTGAAGAACACCTTGATTGCTTCCAAATTTTGACTAAGACTTGTGATAAAAATCCATGTGCAGATTTTTGTGTATACATAAACATTAACTCCTTTGGACAGACACCAAGGAATGTGATTGCTGAGTCATACGATAAGGGCATGTTTAGCCATGCAAGAACCTGCCAAACTGCTGCCAGAAAGTAGCTTTACTATTTTGCGTTCCCATCACCAATGAATAAGAATTCTTATTTTTCCATGTATTCACCAGATATAGTTGCCCAAACCCAAAACATTCTCATAGGTTTTTAGTGATTCCTCATTGTTGCTGTAATTTGCATTTTATGATGGTGTGGAGCAACTTTTCATGTGCTATTTGCCCTCTATATATCTGCTTAGGTGAGGTATTTGTTAATTTTTTATTTGGCTCAAACACAGGACCTCGCAGGTGGTGGAACCACTGAGCTGAATCCCCGGCCTTAACTCACGACCTACTTTGTTAAGGCTATTGGCATTCTTGCTGTTGAGTTTTAAGGGATTTTTGTATATTTTGGGTAGCGGTCCTCTTTCAGATGTATCTATTGCTAATGTTCTTCCCAGTCTGTGTCTTCCCATTCTCTTGAGCTTGAGGTTCATTTTTTTGGTATTTGTTGGAAAGATTATTCCTCTACCGACT